CTCTAACATGGAGAACATATCGCTGTTCCTCTCGCTTCGCTGTGACCCCGTTGAGGTCCGTCGAGGCGGTGACACGGCCGGCTGAGGTGGCTTGGCACTACCGGCTTGTTGCAGCTTTGGTGGTGACGGTGACATAAAGAGCACTCAACACCCTATCACCTATCTAGGACAATGATGAAGTGCTCCCAATACTCGTAACTTTATACCTTCCACCTGTACCCATAACATCGCCAATACGCCCCCCTCTCCCACCACAACTAGCAACATCCCTCCACACCAGCTGAGCACAACATTGAGACTACACTGGAAACGCAAGGCCAACACTATAGGCATGACAGACGTCCACTCATGGGAGTAACTACTCCCACTCCGTGGTACTTTTCGCTCGCCCTTCCGCATCAGTAACGGTCTCCAAAGTGACCTTTTCAGTCCACATAGTGCTGACCTAATGAGGACCCGCTCCCTGTAACTTTTCATCGTGACCGAGTTAAGACTTCACACTCATACCATTCTGAAAAGTTACAAGGGCTGGGCACTTATCAAATCACCAGCCGACGTAGTATACGACGGTTATTCATCGGTAGATCACACCTGTTAAAATGTTGAGCTCAATCCCGCAGTCGCTAATGGAAAACAATAACCATTCGAATCCACCTAAGGCATGCACTGTCCTACGCCACTCTGCAGGGGCACCCACAGACGGCTAGGCTTACCTTGTTGTGAGTGGGTGAATCAGGACTCCATCGTGAAGCCTCGTCTTCTATCGAAAACCAATCGCCACATTAAGGAGTGGCCAATAAACTACTTCCTCTCTGCACCATGTAAACCGACCTATTCCGTATCTTTCATCCCGCACCCTAAGATATGCAAAGATATGCTACCAGGCCCATCCCTGAATGAACATAACATGCTTCATACGATGGAGACCATAAGTAAATCATACGTGCTGAACAAGGTGTAGTAATAAAGGTACAGAGGGAAAGGACAGTAACAAAGGGGGGGGAGGAACTAGTGTGAAGGAAATCATCCATTAAAACACTATTCACCCAAACACGATACAGTAAGAGTACCGAGGAGACCACCCACGAAGATTCCGTCGACCAAAGTGAAGGCCATGGTGTAACCAGCAACCTCTTGCTCGGCCTTGTCAGACGACACCCGCTGAGGACCGTACATCATCGACAGAGTCGCACACAGTCCATTCGACAAGGCGAATATCAGCATCTCGATATGCTTAAACCAGTTCCATTGGAAGGGCTTCACCGTGGGGTAGAGGGTAGTGCAGATGAATAAGGGGATGAAGAGCGCTCGGGCAAGAGAGACAACGATGAGAGCTTTCTGGGGGATGGCCAGACCAACGTTGGGGGCAAATCTACCGACCGTGTCACCCACCTGGTAGACGAAGGTCACCAGAGGAATGAACTTTGCGGTAGCCTCCGGGGTCCCCTTCCCTGCCTGCCATAGTGTGGCTTGGGAGGGGAAGCATATGAACGTAATAGTGAGGACCGACCAAGCACAGAAGGCCATGGGGGCGAGGTCCTTGAGAATCGCACGCACAGGACGTCTGGTCTGGCGGACTTTCAAACTGCCAACCTTCCTTCTCTGGTCCTCTATGGTGAGCACTTGTTTGATAAGAGGATCCTTAGAGGTGATCAGACGGAACATAGGCATGATGAGGAGTGTGAGAACCGACGTGACCGAGAAGAATACCAAACAGACCCATTCGTCCTTGCGGTGAACGTTCTGAAATATGCAGTCGAAGAGCTCGAGAAGAGGCCAACCGATGACACCTGCCATGCCCTCACCCACCATAACCCAATTGATACATGATTTCGGGCAGAGGGCGGCCAGGCCTAGGGCGGTTGACTCCATAATAGCATGACCGAAGGCCAGGATGACCACACAGACGATACCAAGGGCATTGCCGAGGTCTGTGCTAGGACAGGGATTGTCCACTCCAACAGTCATGGCAACTATTGCCAAGCAAATGTTGAATACAGCCAAGAGGCTGCAACCAATGTCAAACCTTGGTGCGAACGTGAACTTGTTGCCGAAGAATATGATGAACAACTGGGCAACGTTGTTGGCC